AGACCATAATTCCGATGAATTATTTCGCTAACAAGATGAGGTGTTCAGCATTAATGTCTTATGATGAAAGGTATTGCAGAGGATTATCATACCGTGTTCCAGCAACATATCGAGTCGGGTACTCGATTTTTACTTCCTCAGCGAACACGACGTCTGTTCAGTAAATTAATCGCGACCAATTCGCATCAAAATTTCCAGATGCAATGATTTGAAAATGCCATAACACATAATGAAATGTATACACATGTTTATTCAAATGATATTAGCATGAAACAATAATAATAATAATAATACAAAGTTTTTGCTGAGTGCATACTTTTTGATGAATATATAGTAACATTTTTATGTTAGTACGGTACGACAAAAGTACTGATCGTATTGTACATATATAGGCATGCATCAAACTTCAAATATTAGGTCATCACATGTGTCATTTGTTTTTAGTTGAAAAGCACTGATTCACCGATGATATCGCTCAAACTGAATAGGAAAGGATGGAATCTCATGAAACCGCATCGAAAATCAGCTGTTCCGAAACTGTGGTTCATCACGTCAGGAAAACGGTATAAGAAATCTATGGCTTCTGACAAAAATTCATCAATCTTTTCCGGTATTGTGGCAAAAAATAAATGATCATTAATATTGGAAGATACCTACGAAGAAGGTCCCTCACCGCATAAAATGAATAAAATTTCCATCCTGGACTGACGATTCATGAAAGGAAACGTCAAATTTGAAGGAATGAACGAATACTGCTCAGCGAATAAGCAGCAAAACGCTAAGCATGCGATTCGACTTTTACTGGTGAAACATCGGAAAAATGCAGGTGATGAAGAGTAGCACTGTTCCAGAAAGAGGCATCAACATTCTGTGACGACCATGAATGAATCAGTTACTTTTTGCGCCACAATTAGGCAACAACCATATACAACATACGTACTTACATACAAAACATAAATTGAATTGAAATAAGCAACCGAATAAATAGAAATATACAAACTGAACGTTGAATAATAATTTACTGATCGATTATCACTAACGGCTATTTAACACAGAATATTTCAAAGTATGAACAACAGAAAACTATCAATTAAGTCATGAAGAAGATGCTATGCAGGGAAGTGCCAATACATGAAATATTACAACTGAAACAAAAACGGATGGTTATTATTATCATAATTAGGAGTTTATTGACATTAGGAATGATGAACATAACAGATGGACGACGTAACCAAAACAATCAGGAGAATTTGTTTCGATTCCTCAGGCAGAGCAAGGAGGTTTAGGATAACATGGATAACTCAAGGGATGTTTCAGCACGATCGGTCGGTGAACCGGAAAGCAATAAAACCGGGAAGATTTTCGACTGAAATACCTCACAACGGTTGAAAGAAGGCATCAGAATATCGGCAATTACATTCATTAGCTTAGCTAGCTGATATTATTATTATCATTACTGATGGATAGCGAATCCTATTGGAAAAGAATCCAGCAGAGATGGCTACGAGAGATAGTTACCTAAAAGCACAGGGCACGGGAGAATGAAGGACCGACCCAGTAGAGGATGAGCTCGGAAAAGAAATAGAGTTCATGAAACCTACAATTTCTAAAATAGTCGAAAGAAATTTAAACTATTAATGTAACTAGAGAACCGAAATATAAACGAAAAAAGTTAATGAAAAAGCAAGCTGAAAATAAGGAGGAAAGTAAAACAAATCGAAAAATGTATTCTAGTAGTGAACAAATTACTCACATTTTACAATCTGGTCTACATTCAGCATAATACAATTAAGTTGAATCAAAGATGAATGAATCATTTTCAGAATGGCTCACTTGGCAAACTGAATAAGAGGTGAAACGGAAAAAAAGAACACATTAAAGAAAATCATTATAAGGTATTCGAATTCATTGTAATTATTATTATAATTTTTTAGAGGTTTCCTTTTTTAAAAATTTATCATAACATTATTTGGTAACTGATCATATTAAAGGTATTTACAAATAAAACACAATTTACTATCTGTACTCAATTTGACTTTACAGCCTACTCAAACAAACAAATATCACAGTAACGACGCTCGGTCGGTTTATCATCTCCACATCCACAGCAATTCGAACTACTCTTTGGCTGTCACATCATTTTCTCAATCAAACATCATTGTAAATTCCAATATACTGGTTATGCACATGTAGCCGTGTGCACGACATATATGCACAACAAGCACGGAATATTTTGGAGGACAGCACATTTTTACGGTGTATAGTCAGGATGGATGACTGACTGCATCGTTGGTTCAAACTTTTAGCTGAGTAACTTCTGTACCAACATTCTGGTTGCATCATTGTCCATGTCGAACTGAAATGACGCATTCGAATTACTCAGCGAGTACGAGAACGATACATGTGATCCCGTCAAACATATCATAAGAAGTACAATGTTTCAATGATGTTTCGATAGTCATTTTCGATAATACCGTCTCAACGTTTCGATAGATCAATGAATTTGATTCNATCCTCGCATTATAGTAAGACTTTCGGCTGCATTATGTGAAAAACCTAGGAACATTACTATGCATGCAATGTATGATAGTGCTTCTACGTTATCCATATAATGTACCTAACTCATTTCAGGTTTTCGAACAATACTGAAGTTAAACAGCATTCGACGTGCTCTTATTCCTGTAATTTGACAGCTCCTTTTTCACCGAACCGAAATAATAAAGAGAGAAATAAGAAGAGCAGTGCTGACCCCTCCGTTACCGAGGTTGAAGTCGTACAGCTCAGTGGGAATCATCGACGTCTGCTGTGTTAGAGCATTAGCACTGTTCATTGGATCATTGATCGCTGTCGGCATTCCGGTTGAATAATAGTTCTGAGGTGAGAGGTTCGTGGTGAGAGGGGACGATGAGGTAACGTAGTAGCCATTCGAGAGTTGATTCGGTACTTGTTCCAGTGTTTGGGATTGGATAACTATAATTGGTTGATTACCGTTGCTGGTCGCATTGCCAGTATTGGATAAGGAAGCGTTGTGCTGTTGAAGCAGCTGGTTTGAGGGTGGTGTAGATTGCAGTTGCGGTGGAGTGGTCGACGAGGGCATCATTGGTGAGCTGTAGTTGGGCAGTGCGCCTGGCACTGAATGCTGCCTTATATCCATACGGATCATTTCGGCTCCCGCGCCTCGCTTGCTCCACTGAGTTGGTGGCGGACCCATTGAGCCTGTGCCACCAACACTGGTGTTCAGTGAACACGTCCCGTTTTGTGATGCGTCATAACTGAAAGCGTAATGATCGTCGAAAATTCCACAAATTATAAATTTAACTGTCGAAAATAGAAGTGATCTAAATAAGTTTACAGAGGCATTGGTTTTTGATGAATTGCAGCCGAAAAGACTCACCCTCCATAAGGACTGAGGCGACTGACGGCGTTTGGAGACTGTGTTGGATACTGCTGCGGTGAAACGGCAGATTGTTGTTGTTGTTGCTGTGGATATTGCTGAGGTGAGGCCGATTGCTGAAAAGATGCCAATCTGTTTGAATTCACTGATAAATTAGAATTTCAGACTGCTGACAATGAGTAAGAAGTCTGTCTCTGAAAACGAGTGGATCGTTCGAAGAAAAAACTTTTCAAACGAAT